GAGACCCAGTTGAACAGGGGAGCGATTCAGGCTCCTTGGAGCCTCTAGTTATGTTTGGCATGTACAGGTTCGTGTAAAATATGACTGCATTTCCATTGCAGATTCTGAAGAAGATGAATTTTAAGCTTTTATAAATAAAGACTATGTTAAACTTTGGACTCCTAGTGCTCAGACCCATGGACCTATGTACCTTCATTTGTACACAATTGCATCTTAATGGCCTACTGATGCTTGGTGCAAATTAAAACTGCATTGCTACTGTTAGTTCTTAATGATATTCTTACAGCGTCCTCCCCATTGAAGCCTGTATTAAACTTTGGACCCAAAGTTCTTTAAACCAATGTTCCCCAGGTCAACTATTCCTACAAACTTAGGGGGAGTGTTAAGATCCCGTAAACATGTTTAACCCCGCCACATTCTGTATGTGTGTGCCTGTCCCAAGTCAGGAGCCTGTAATTCAGTGACTGTTGCTTGTTGATGTGTTACATATTTGTTTTTCGTTTTTTTTTTACATAAATTAGGCCGTTAGTTTTCTCGTTTGAACTGTTTTACATTTGTTATTCGGAGCCTTTTATAGCTGACTATGTGGTATGGGCTTTGCTCATTTTTGAAGGCTGTACGGTGACCTATAGTTGTTAATTTCTGTGTCATTTGGTTTCTTGTGGCAATCATACCACATCTTCTTTTTTTATATTTAATCCTCATCATATAAGGATCATCCATTCTCTAAGATTGATCCAATATGGCCTGGTAGTTCTTAAGGAGAAGATTTTCAAAGCTTTTTCCATTGGGGCTTATGTTAAACTTTGGACCCCTAATAATCGAGGCTTATGAATCCCCTGACCTTCACCTATCACCTAAGGAAGTTGTGTCTCGTACTCGTATCGTTTATTGTCCGTCGTCGTCTGTCGTAAGCGTGTTTTAAAAATCTCCTTTGTAACTAATGTGCAAAATTCTTTAAAAGTTAGTTTGATTTTCCTTGTTAAATGTTTCCTTCACAAAAGGCGTGCTTTGATTTTCGACTCCTTAAAAACACAGCCGCTGTTATTAACTTGAAAAAAATAGGACATAATGGTCACACATTAGTTTTTTGATAATGTCTCGAATATCGTTACATTTATCTCAAATCTGTTGAGGGTTCATCATGACAAAATGGACCTATGCCGAAAATTTCAGAAAGATCAGTTTGACCCATACCTGAGTCGTGTTCTCTAAAACATTTTTTGGGATAGCTACATGTATTGTCATCACTTGAAGTCCGTCGATTTTGACCGGCAACCAACAGCATGGACACTGTTACTAAATAAAGGCAACAGTAGTATACCGGTGTTCAAAGGTCATAAATCGATTGAGAGAAAACAAATCCGGGTTACAAACTAAAACCGAGGGAAACATATCAACTGTAAGAGGAAAATAAACGAACAACAGGAACACTAAAGCGAACAAAAATAAACCCTTAACATACATAGAACGAACTATTTGATAACAACTGTCATACTCCTGAATTGGTACAGGACATTTTAAGAACAAATGGTGGGTTGAACATGGTTAAATGGCTAGCCAAACCTCCCGCTTTATGACAATGTTAAAAATGTCGCTGAAATGATAACACTACGTGACAGAAATACAGATCAAACACACGCAAGAATATTCATCACAGAGAAACGCACAAACAAATAATATACTACAGTGTAGTGATAGTCGCAAAACATGTAAACTGCAGAACAACAACGAACATATTTCATCAACGACAAACCCCACAGGATATAAAAAACAGTTACGCGCTTACGTAACTCACATGCAATCTCGAACTTTATGCAATTATTTCCACAATACTATACAAATAGACCACATAGCGAAATAACAGATTTTTTGCCTCGCCTGCGATGAACGTCAAAAATAACAAAACAAAGGAATTTAGAATTTAGAATTTTCGGCGACGGCGGCTAAACTTTTATCAACATTTTGTGATTTTTGTAATCTTTAATAAAAGTTTAACGGTAACTACAGACGACGACGGACGACAAGCGATTGCTATATCACACATAGTCCTTCGGGTACTAAACACATCTTCTTGATGTGATCTACATACATGCCAAATATAAATAGAGGCTCCAAGGAGCCTGAATCGTTCACCATTTCAATGGGTGCCATTAGACTTGATCATGAAATAAAGTTCTATTATGTGCAGACATATGGAGTAACTTACGTTAATATTAATTAAGCTTGATTAAATTCAGTGGTTTTCATTCTCAAAAATGAATATGTTTACGATAGGGTTTTGATACAAACTTTGCCCTCACTGGTGGCCATTTTTAACTTCGGATCAGCTCAAACGTAAAAACTCTTTTTAAGGACCTGGATACTAGGTACACATTGTATATTTGTACTAAGTTTAAACTCAGTCATTTCAGCGATCTTGAGAAGGAGATTTTGAACATTGATTTTTTCAAAGTCCCTTGGCGGTCATGTGTTTTAATCAATGGGTAACTAAGAAGCAACACTTGAATAGGATCTTATAGTGCACACGTATATCAAGTTTGATTCAATTCTGATAAGTGGTTCTTAAAATAAAGATGCAAATGTTGTTTCCCATAGTGTGTCGATGCTCACAAAGTAGCAATTCCAAGGTTGTCGTTATAGATGATATAGCGATGTCGTAATTACGATATAGATGTCGTTATAACGACATCCTTATGTCGTTATTACGACATAAGGATGTCGTTATTTCCACATAATATGTCGTTATAATATTACGACATAGCGATGTCGTTATTTCCACATACTATGTCGTTATTACGACATAGCGATGTCGTTATTACGACATACTATGTCGTAATTACGACATAAATTAATTTTTTTGAATGACCCTTATCGGCTTCCGTAGAAAATTGCTTACACGCTATAATGCAACACTATCAAGCTGCAGATCAAATATAAAATCATTCCTTTTAATGGAAGTCAAGAATACTTCGAAGATAGTTTTCTACCTAAGATCTTTCGAACGGACTTAATCGAGCGTTTATTAGACCTGCTTTCTGACGCCGTTGGCGACGTAGGTGAAATACATAAAACTTAATGGGGCTTTGAATTGATAAATGAATGGATGGATAGATTGGTGTTTAACGTCCAGTGGCTTATATAACATGCGAATAATATCGATAGCATGTCGATGATTTAGAATTTGACATGTTGTATAGACACCTGACAATTGTTAAATAGATATAAGAAGATGTGGTATGAGTGCCAATGAGACAACTCTCCATCCAAGTCATAATTTGTAAAAGTAAACCATTATAGGTCAAAGTACGCGGCCTTCAACACGGAGCCTTGGCTCACACCGAACAGCAAGCTATGAAGGGCCCCAAAAATGACTAGTGTAAAACCATTCAAACAGGAAAACCAACGGTATAATCTATATAAAAAACGAAAAACGAGAAACACTTATGAACCACATCAACAAACGACAACCACTGAATATCAGATTCCTGACTTAGGACAGGTGCAAACAAATGCAGCGGGTTTAAACGTTTTAATAGGCGCCAACCTTCACCCTAACCTGAAACAATAGTGTTACAACACAACATAGAAAGACAAACTATAAAATATCAATTGCAATGGCTTAACTCAATGAAAAGACATATTAACAAAAACAAGTGAACGAATAAATTTGATCTATGACACTAACTAACACTAAATAAGTAAACATTAAGACTATATTGCCCTCTAGATGTTATTTGGTTATTTTTGTCGTTGGGGTGATGTCTCATTGACGTGTACCCCATATCTCCTTTCATCTACATTATATGGTAAAGTTAGTAACGTCTCAATGCAATGACGAAAAGGGGACTGGCCTTTAATGGAACGGGTTACAAATGCCACAGAACTAAGTAAATGAAAAGAAAGCCTCTTCTCGACCTTTCTGCTAGGTATGGGCCAAATAACAGTTTTTACAATAAAAGTTATTTTCGAAATATTAGAAACTCTAAACTTTGTATACATCAGAAAATGTTAAATTATGCGAACAATTTTTTGAATGCAGCTATTTTTAAATGATCGTTATACAATTTTCAATGTTTTTACACCTGACATTTCAGTTTTATGATTTTTTATTGAAAAAATATGCTTTGTATTTACAGACTCTAAAATATCCCAACAACGGTTTCATGAAAATAATTTTTAAGAACCATTTTACTGTATCTTTGTTGTGAAACACATCCATACTAAGGTATTGACAATTTGTTTGGGGGAAAAGGGGGAGGGGCATGATAATGATCTTGCATCTTAGATTTTTTTTCACAGTATTGACTACAGCCTCTTTTTCTTGTAAGATGGTGTTTTAGGGTATCACCCCCCCCCCCCCCCCCAAACAAACAGTATTTAACAATAAATTGATATAGTGGCTGATCGGATTTACAGCAGTAGAAATACAATGATACAAGATCTACAGAATCGAAAACAATTGCTAGTTATTGTGTTTATAACAGTAATCCAGTTGTTATATACACTGAAAGCAAACACCAGATTTTTAGCTCGAATGCTACTGACGGCTTAAATATTCTAGACATGGATATGGTCTTAAATATAAATAAAATTTTGAATGAAATGACACTTTTTTAATTGTAACTTTGATTGCTTTATATTTTTGATATCAAAATAGTTTTGTTGTTCGATTTGATTTGGTTAATTCTTTGTTTATTTTTTGGTTACTACATCCAAGAAAGTTTCAGTGTCATGTGCCGTCCACTAAATATTGTAAGGGTGGGCTTTTCTTGTTTGTTGAACCAAACGCTATATACCCGTCCTCTCAACTAATGTTCTTTTGTCCTACTTTTAAGCACTGTGTACTAGTGTAACTTTAATTTAGTAATGTTTCAATGTTTTAGTGAGAAGAATACATATAAACCAGTACCCTAACAATGTAAATTTAAGCCTTGGATAAACTTCAGTCATGCTGGTCGTTATTGTTATGCCTTCATGCGGTACGGTTATCAAAATGGGATAAAAATTCAATGTTCGGGTGACATTTCAATTGAGTTCATTCAAAACACGAAGGTAAGTAAATAGTTCCATAACTATGTATGCTTCATATTTTTAAACTTTTGAAAAAAATGTTTGTGCATGATATATGAAAATAAGAAGATGTGGTATGAATGCCAATGAAAAAACTCTCCGCCGGAGACCGAATGACATAGAAGATAACAACTATAGGTCACCGAACGGTCTTCAACAATGAGCAAAACACATACCGCATTGTCAGCTATAAAAGGTACCGAAATGACAAATGTAAAACAATTCAAACGAAAAAAATAACGGCCTGAGTTATGAACAAAACAATGAACGAAAAACAAAAATGAGATACAACAACAAACGACAACCTTTGAATTACAGGCTCCTGACTTAGTACAGGCACATACAGAATATGGCGGGGTTAAAAATGTTTGCGGGATTATCTAAGTACAAACCAGGGGATAGGTACAATTTGGTAGATCACATTCGAGGAAAAGAGGACGAAATTGTGGTAAAGACAATTGGAACATATCTGTCGTCATTTGAGAAACAGATATTCCATAACGGTCAACCAACTCGTTATGGCGTTCGTAAAATTTTCGAAGGGACGCACTTGGAATTCTTGGTCAATAGCCTCTTTGTAAGCAGTAGCCCTATTTCTGGGAAATCATGATAGGAAATGCAAGCCCTGGAACATCGTATCATATATATGTATACATGTATATTCAATATAAAATAAATATAATCTTTGTTTGATATTATTTCAAATATTTCCGTTCTTTATTTATATAATTTAAAAGGAGCCTGGAAAATATTCGTGATGGCAGATTTATCCTCCTATGACATCATCCAAATACATTTATTCTTAACTGACAATTTTAAAAAATTTTAAAAATAATTTTTTAGCATATTTTTAAATAATATTTATCTCGCTCTACACTATACCCTTGACATTTATTAAAAAGAATGGAGCTCGCCCTCTGCATCTGTTTTACATATTTTACAAATGTAGTTTTTGGCTTCTTGGCCCAAATACGACCATTTTCAATTTTAAGTGGGTGATCACCGATTCTTAATTTTGTGAGTAATTGCATCTGTTCCCTATTACCGATAAAGAGATGGGTTTCAAAAGCAAAGTTATTTTCTACTACACAGTACTAGACATAAAATCGAAGAGGTTAGATTGCATTTTTTTCCTATCTTAAAAAAACTTTTTTGCAAAGTTTGGAAAAAAAGGATAATTTTGTCAAAGGGACTAAGATAAAGGAAACAAATTAAAATATGAAAATAAAGAGACTCGAAACCCTGCCCGCTTATTTGCCCCTGTTCATTAACCGAAAATAGAACATATTGTATGATAGCATTACTAATAACATTTTTAAGAATCAGGTGATGCCACAAAATCTAGAAAAGGAGGACGGTATTGTGTAAACTGGAACCCTGCTGTTGTTTCGCTTTTGAGCGTCAATCAGGTGGTGGCCAGTTTAGGTATTGTGCTTATTCACAAATAGTTCAACAGAAGTGGTACCATTTTTTGTGACATGAATAGCTGACGTTTTTAACATTAATGAAATAACTATCCAAATTAGTAAATAAGCAAGCGGCAATTTTCTTCTGGCTTTTAAGTGCTACATACTACATCATAACAAAGTTAATGGTCATCATTAGATTAAACGCGTCTAATCATACCATAGAAAAACAAAGGATATGGGGTACCCATCCATGACACAAAAACAGTACATGCACAACAAAAAAAATACAAAAAACAAAGGATCAGCGCTTTAATTGCTGTTTTTCATCTCAAAGTTACAGTGAAGCCTTCAACACGAAGCAAAAAATTCGTGGCAATCTGTATTGGTCCGTAGATTTCCGTATTGTAGCCGTAGTCATAGTAGTAGTACTTGTATATATCCGTGACAATTTTTGAACATGCGCAAAATTTGACCACGGATCAAACAACCGTAGTATATCCTTACTAAACCGTATTAGAACGTACTGATCCGTTTTAGTCCCTATTAAAACCATATTAATCCGTACTTATTCGTAGGCCCGAAGATTTTCTACGGTTACAAGACGACAAAATACGGAATATTTCGGTCCACGACAAACTGATATCAAGCTTCTGTATAAATACTCCCTACTTATAGGGTACAGCGTAGTCTTTGTCTTGTAGAGGTATACCTAACATTACCCAACATGAACAATCAACAACTGATGCTTGCAATTAATTGGCTGGAATTGGATATTGATATGGCACAAAATGCCAGGGCAGTGGTCAAGCTACTTGATGACAGACGTAAAGGTGACCGGAGGAAGAAGAGATGGTGGACTAGGGACTGGCTTCTCCGAAGACCTATTCATAGCCAGTATGAGGCTCTCATGGCTGAACTTTGTGCGTAAAAGCCAGCTACATTTAAGAACAATGTAAGAATAGACCCAAATATGTTTCAAGAACTGCTACATGTCGTTGGTCCGAGGATTACAAAGAACACCATCTGGTACAGACCGATAAATAACTTAATAAAACAAAACAAAAAAAAAATCATAGATTCACTGCCTAAAAGAAATGATAAATCTAAAGCTTAATTAGAAATGATTAACGGCTTAGAAAATGTGGCGGTTCGAACTATTCCGTATCAGACCGTTCTCATTCGTACTAACCCTTACTTATACCGTAGCAAACCGCTGTTTATCCGCAGTACATACGCCCCGGCACGTGTCGTTGCTTATTAAACCGTGTCATTTCCGTATTAAACCGTGTCGTACCGTAAGAATCCGTATCACTCATGTCGCCAAATGAACCCTTTCCTACATTACCCTTGGTAGATAAGTCAAAACCCGTAGTCACACCGTTTTGTATCCGTATCGGATCCGCATCGGACTACGGAAACTGCATTTCTGGGATCATCTGTGAGATTTAATCCGTATAGGAACCGGCGAGGTAATCCGTGAATGTGTGACCTAGGCATTATATATATACATATATATTTTCTGCAATACATATAAAAGTACTTCATTGTTATTTGTTTCTCAACTGCAATTGAAATAATTGTAATTAAATGTATTACAGATGTTTTCACGAGTTGTGTTTTTGGTTGTGTTGTATCCAATGTTGTCCAAAAGTCAACAAAACACGAATACTGTGGTTGTTACAACAACAACGGGGAGTATAAAAGGAGTGTCCACGTCTTTTAATGACATGTTTCTTCAAAGTTTCTATGGAATTCCTTATGCTGAACCACCAGAACGATTCAAAAAACCAACACCGGTAAAATCTTGGGAAGGTACAAAAGACTGCACACAACAAGGAGGCAAAATATGCAGCCAACCTATAATTCAAGAGTTAGCCGGCTTTCTTCCAAGTACAGATGTCAGTGAAGACTGTCTTTTACTGGATATATTTGTTCCGGTATCAAACACAAAAGTGCTCAAGAAGAAAGCGGTAGTTATTTGGTTTGCTGGAGACAACTTTGAGTTTGGTCAGAGAGGACTTTTACCTACGTCAGATTTAGTTATGTACGGCGATGTGATTAATGTAGTTGTTGCGTATCGATTAGGTGTGTTTGGATTCCTTTCAACTGGCGATTCTGTTATTCCTGGAAATTTTGGATTATGGGACCAGAAAATGGCAATAGAATGGATAAAAGCAAATATAGATGCCTTTGGGGGTGATTCTTATCGAATCACACTTGCAGGTTTCGGTGCCGGTGCAATATCTGCCACTCTACAAGCACATCATCAATCAAATGACGGAAATTTTCAAAGACTTTTGATTTATTCCGATGTTTCTCATTTGAATGGAAATGTCGTCGGGGAAAACTTTTACTTCATTATGCAAATTGCGAGAACCCTAACAAGTGGGTTATGCCCAAGCAATTCAAAATTGATGTTGCAATCACAGGAAATTTATGACTGTTTAATTTCTAAAACTGAAACAGAATTAATAAGCGAGACAAAAAGAGCAGTGGCTTCCGCTAATGAGTTTTCTAAATTGAAACTTGAATTTGATTTTCGACCAGTTTTTGATAACGATTTTATCAAAGACCTATACTTTACAGAGCTCATACCCGTTGATCTATTGGCAACAGTATCTGAAAACGAACATGCACTCAATGTTTACGAACAACTAATTCCTTATCAAACAAATCACAATTTTGACATAAATAAGAACATTCCGAGATCCGTTCTTTGCGATCTTGTTGTCCCAACCATTGCTGACTCTTACTTGCCAGCAGAAAAGAAAAAGGAGATGATAAATAATATATGTAATCGATACACCTCTAGTGACGAAACAGAGCAAAGCCGTAATGTTCTAAGATTAATTGGAGATTTCTATAATTATGTACCAGTTTCGGATTTGATCTTCGATCATGCAGACTATCATCTCGACAGAAATAATTATCTTTGCCTTTGGTCTCAAAGATCGCCACTGGATGATATACTAAGAAGTTTGACCTGGATGAACGGAACTGTTCAAAATGATGCTCTTATATATTTACTAGGAATTAAATCCTATCAAATGATTGATCCAAATGCGATATCCGAAGATCTTATAGCATTTGCAGAATCTACTATACAATTTTACAGTAACTTCATCAAAACGGGGTGAGTATTTTCACGTAGTATTTCCTTTCTAATCACAGAACGAGTTAGAAATGTCGTCCACGAGAGTAAAGTTGTGATGAATGAGTATTATTTCAGATGACAAAAGTCCATTCTAAATTATTGGCGATAAAGAAAGATATTAACCGTTGCATTTATGTAATGATTCATTAAAATTCATTATGTAATTGCTGGCAAAATGTTCTTTGCATTTAGTTTTTTCTCTCGTATAGACTACTGCGCATTAATAATTTTTGTTGTTGAAATAAAAGCCAGCTGAACCGTTAAAGTACTTTGTGAGCGTACACAATTACTAAAGTAATATATCCAGTTTCAAAAAGAGTGGAACATATTTTACTTATTCTTATTTGTGCGTTTTCCATAGAAATCCATTATTCCAAACACCATTTCCTTATGGACACTTAATCAGGTAGCATTTTAAAATCAAGTTTGACCTTAACACTGTACGATTGTGAAGAATTTGTGCTAACACTGCCCAAATGGCATCACGTGTAATCCGTCGTATACCTAATCCACAATCCTTCTTGAGTTTGGATGTCGTGATGCTATCGACTAATCAATACATCCACCGGGACCACTCAAAGAACATAGAGGAAAATCTCATACTATAGTTGTTTAATGTTTATCTGAGCAGTTAATCTAAACTAACTTTAGTATTAAATAATAGAGTAATAGGAAGATACAGTTGTAATACCATTAGTATTGCTGTTAATAGTGCATGCTATATAATTATCAAGAAAAAAGATCCAGGATTTTATTGTAAAATAATTGAAAATAGACCATATAAAAATAAGGAGATGTGATATGATTGCCAATAAGACAGCTATCCACCAACGTTCAAATGAAGTGGATGTAAGCAATTATAGGCAACCGCACGGCCTTCAACAATGAGGAAAAATCCATACCGATCAAGTTAATGCAGTACTATTTAATTTGTCGTGTGCTTAAATAAAACACTTGTACCAAGTAATATGAATGTTTGCTTAGGCTTATAAATTTGGTTTTAGTCAATTTGTTTTCATTTTTCAGAAACCCAAATTCTAATGCACAATTATGGCCATTATATACTGCAGACGATGAAGAATATATTCAGATGAAGCTACAGCCAATAACAGGTTCTCGTCTTTTCGAGGACAGGGTGTTTTACTGGCTTGATGAAGAATATAGAAATGTTTCACCGTTACCAACCGATTCAGTAGTACAAACAGAAAAGACGACAGCACAATCTTTAAAAGCTACAAGAACAAGAACAACAACAAAACGACCACCAAAAACTACAAAACAACCACTTGTTCTTCCAAAATTAGATACTACAACAACCATCGCACCGGTGAATTCATCGGTTATGATTAGATTCAGTCTGATACAGGGTATTATGTTAATAATCCAGATAGTTCTGTTATATAAGTCCTGAATAAAACATTTTGTCTTTACCCTGTATCATTTAACTTAATGAAGTCTTATTGTGTAGCACTGGGTTAATTACGCTGCGGGTGGACTGTTAGTCCCAAGGTTATCACCAGCTCAGTAGTCAATACTACTGTACTGACATGATTTATATCCTAAGTTTCTTAAATTCTCTGTTGATAAATTTGGAAGTGATTAAATAATAAGGTTCCTACTCCAACAGGCCAAATTGTCCTTAGATGAATTTAGTTATTCTATTTAGGTCCGTTTTGGTCAAATGTCTCCTTATGTATCCTGGTATTAATGCATCCTTTGCTTTCAATGTTCTGGGTTTGAGCGTTCCTTATGAAGATTCGGAAGAGCGGTTTGAACGCACCAAATTTGAAAAGTTCTACTTTCATTTTCTAGGTAATTACCACTGTTGGTGGACTGTTGTGTGCATGAAATTCAATACAAAAAATATTGCATGCTATCTACATTTGTAGGACAATCAACCTAACCCTTTTTAATTTTAGCAGATATTTACAACTCCTCGTCCAATCAAATTACTTGATTTCCCGTCTCAGCTTCATAGTACATACTTTTCCGTATACTAATGTAGTTATGTTTGCATTACCACAAAGAAAATATCCATTGCATTTCAATCAGAGAACAATAAGTGTCCAAAATTCAATTAGTGTATGAAATTAGTTTTTACATCCTGATTATGAAATCCTTGGGTTTCAAAAATATTTCTTTATGATATAATGTATTCACCTTTAATAATAAATATATACCGCGAATTGGTATAGAGCGCGGCAGATTTTGATAGTGAAGAGGGTTGTAAAAGTCTTTCTCGTCGTACTTTTTTTGCGTTCGTAACGGTTAGTACGGTGAATGTCACTTGATTTTTTTTTTATTTATTTTTTGTCATTGAATTTCTTTAAATTGTATTTCAGTCAGTTACCATTTGCGTCAAATAGAGTAAAATAAAATAAATAACGTTACTAAAAACAAATATTATCGATAATCGTTATGTAGGTTACCCCATTCCAACTCACACTCACGGCTACATTTGTTTTAATAGCAGAGCTTACTCGGACGCGGCAAATTTATAAGTTTCATATCATTAAGATAGGATTCACAACACTCCAATGTAAATTTAGAAAGGGAAAGTCCATAAACACTGACAAAATCAACCAACGAATGAATGCAAAATGACTGTCAAATTCCTGACTTGGTGCATGCATTTCCGAAGAAAATGTTGGGTTAAACCTGGTTTATAACTAGCTAAATCTCCAACTTGTATGACAGTTGTTTACAGTTCCGTTACATTTACAAAATTGGGTGAGTAACTCAAACATATACAATAGGTTAATGTGACTATAATTGGGATCCAGCAGCCAAAAATCACAGACATATAACACAACTGTCTAAAAAATTCAAACATACATACACATAAATCTAACAAAGACGCCAACAAAAAAAGTTGTTGAAGTTGATAGTAAATTTGATAATGACTCCAACAAAAAAGATTTGTAGTTGATACTAGTAGTAAATTTGTCAAAGACGCCAACAAAAAAATGTTTGTAGTTGATAGTACATACAGTATATATCATACACTGTTTCGATAAAGTACAAATTAAGTAAATATAAATACAAGGGTAAACAAATGAAAACAACAAGTTGTAAAAACCTCTTGCTCTTAAGTTGGACCAGTGTGTAAACTGCCTATGCGATTCACACTTTTCCTTTAAGTTTCCTGTTCATAAAATCATCAAAAATGCTTGTGTTTTCGACCCGTATACACATAGATTGATATTCAAGATTTTACTTTTTGTTTTACCTTTCTGGAATCTTAGTTTTTTAAATATTTGGTTTTGTTTTACGAATATTAGTTTTGGTTTTTGGAATCATGATTTTAGATTTTGAATATTTAGTTTTGTTTTTGGAATATTTAGTTTGGTATTTAATGCTCTCCACCTTCGTAATTTATTTGACCATTTGTTTTGAATATTTTCAGGCGTTTATGATTTGATGATCTGGTGTGAAATAAATAATGTGAAATTAACCCTATCTCCTTGAGATGAAATCTGCTTTATGAAATTTCAAAGCGAATGGCAACTAAATCAAATAAATAAATGATGTTTTCCCGGACCAAAATATCAATCTGTACACATCCAACGGATTTAGTATAAAGAATGCATGAACAGTCTGATTACAGCATGCCTTTGTGCAGTTTCAAAATATAAGTATCGACAGGGTGTATAGTAGGACCATATTAAGTGCATTAAATAACAATTGTATTTACCTGTGCATTAAATAACAATAGTATTTATCTGCGCATTAAATAACAATATCAATGCCAGTACCGATAAAGACTATATTAAAAGATAAAAACACAGGATATAAACTGGTAACTTTTAAGAATAAGTTTTTTTCTAAGGATCAATAAGATTACGTGGATCGTGTATAAATTAATAAGCTATATCACCAACATCACCTTAAAAATAAGGATGTGATATCATGTTTGCTATAAAAAAAACTAGACAAAGTGAAGCCCCCTCACTCCGCTCTGAAGTAACTGTGTTATCACAAAGTCAATGTAGGACGACTTTCTTTGTGATATTATTGTGTCTGGGAGACACAAATGATGACCCGCAGATGCAAAGTGTTATTTTAAGATACACAAAGTTGAACATGGGAGCACATAGGCCTATGGTTCACTGTAGGAGGAGTTACCCGGAAACGCTATGCACCTCTTATGCAAGTATATACTCCAAAAATGACAAAGTTCAACTATCTCCCAAAAGAGCAAATATCAATAAAAATCAAAACCCTGACCACATGCACACCTTCAATATATGTACAAACAGCCAGCAAAGTGAAAACTTCCTAGCATTCAAACTGTAGGAGGAGTTATCTGGAATAGCAATATACCCATAATGGGACCGACGGACGGACAGGGGTTAAACAATATGCCCCCCCCCCCCCCCCTTCCAACTTTCAGTTGCGGAGGCATAACAATACGATTTTGTACGCCAGAGGCGCGTTTCATCTACAAAATACTCACCACTGGCGCTCGAATAAAAAAGTTGAAACGCCAAATAAAGTACGAAGTTGAAGAGCATTGCGGAACAAAATTTCGAAAGGTATTGCTAAATATGGATAAGGTAATTTATTCGTGGGGTAGTTTTGTAAACAGTCAATTTATAACTATGACCATATCAATGATAAAGGGAGGCGACAGATACCAGATAGACATTCAAACTCTTAAGTCGAAAATAAACTGACAACGCCATGGCTAAAATAGAAAAAGACAAACAGACAAACAATAGTACACAAAACACAACACAGATAACTAAATACAAAGCAACACGAACCCCATGCACTAAAAACTAGGGATGATCACAGGTGCTCCAGAAGGATAAGCAGATCCTGCTCCACATGTGGCACCCGTCGTGTTGCTTATGTTAGTTCAAACCCGGTAATAAGTATAATTTGGTAGGTCACATTCGTGAAAAGGGGTCAGGATTGTAGTTACGACATTAGAATCATATCCGCTATCATCTGTGAAACGGATATTCCATAACGGTCAACCAACTCGTGATGGCGTCCATAAAATTTACGAATGGATGATTTCAACTTCACCATTTGGAACTCTTGGTTTGATAGCTTCCTTGTGAGCAGCAACCCTCTAACATGGAAATCATGATAAGAAATATAAGCCCGGGAATATCTTATCAATTGGGAGATATATACTCCGTATAATTAATGTCAACACAGAAATGCTTAACTACTTGGCTGATGATACACTCGAGTTTCTACAGGTACATCAACATTTTCAAACAAAACTGATGTATCTATGAAAGAATTTAGTAAAGGTTTTAAATAATTTGTGTAAATGAAATCCCTGATTCAATAATTTATCAGTAACAAAAAGAATCTTAAATGTCACTATATAATACAATGTAAATACGGGCATGTAAATATACAATATTTATCAGTATTTTATGAGTCCAGTGAAAAATGCTTAATCATTAAAAATGCTGACGATGTAATTGGTCACGATGATGATGCTCTGTATGGACTGAAAAATAAACTATTAAGTATTATATAACAAGACATTTCTCAGACTGAGACTTCTTAAATATCTGGACGCTTTGCTCATATGAGAGGTTAAGATTATCAGATATCCGTAACTATTTTCAGAATTTCTCTTCGGTGTGTACATAACGTGCAATAAAAAAGAAGTGTACATTCTTATTGGTACCTTCATACTGACAAGATGGGTAAGAAATAAATTGGATTACAATATAAACAAGTCATGGTGAGACGAGGAGCATCTTAAACGAAGAAGAATAATAAATAAGGTTTCCTCGATACATAGTCTAAGTTCAAAGTACTAAGTTACGGTATTATTTTAAGTATTAGCCCTTTTTCATCGGCTCTTAAATTTGAGATGAAATATGCTAAATATGAAACGGTAAGAAAATGTCAATCTCATTCCACAGTCATATACGAAGTAGTCTATGGTATAACAGATTCTATTGAATATAAGCGAGAATATGCAGAAGGAACAATACAGTTTCTTAAAGGACACACAGCTGTTCACTATACATAAGGCGGAATAAGATTACAAAGATAATCCGGAGATTATTTATGCTGAATCTTATAAGACATTTGTAATTTCCATCTTTTCGATTTTTTGGCTAAATGTTTCACGCTCAACTGCTCATACTTCTTCTTTCACACTTCTAGTTTTTGTAGAAACAAGCAATTAGATAACTATTTTATAGTTCCCGACTGTAGACTTTCCAATTTGTAAGCATGTCGTATCCAACAATAGTAAAGGTTGCTTCAAATGCTGTCATATCTTATGTGTAGAGATAAAAGAAAAAAATAGTACCTATCAATGGATTAAGCAGGAGTAACGCAAAAAATGGTACCTATCACCAGATTAAGCAGGAGTAACAAGATGAATGTCATTTCAGTCAAACAAGAAGTGATTTACTTTCCAGAGCACTTGAGTTCACCTGCAGGTTTAAATAGATTTTCAACTGATTTTTATAGTTTGTTCTTTATAGTTTGTACTGTTACACCACTGTCCCAGGTTAGGTGGTAAGTTTGGCGACAACAAACTAGTTTAACCCACATTCTGTATGTGCATGTCCCAAGTCAGGTGCATGTAATTCAGTGGTTGTCGTTTGTTGTCGTATATCATATTCGTTTTTCGTTCATTGTTTTGTTCATAAATCAGGCCGCTAGTTTTCTCGTTTGAATCGTTTTACATTTGTCATTTCGAGGCCTTTTATGCTGACTATGCGGTGTGGATTTTGTTCATTGTTGAAGGCTGTACGGTGACATATAGTTAAAAACTTCTATGTCATTTGTTCTCTGGTGGAAAGTTGTCTCATTGGCAATCATAACACATCTCCTTATTTTTATATTCATACAGCTCAGTAGATGCAGTTTTCTGTGCAATATTTTGTTAACTTATTTTTATCTCGATTTTAGATCCTTGATTTATTTTATGGTTATTTTCTAATTTGATTTTTTCCAGCTCTTAAAGCCTTCCAACCCCTTTATCAAGTTCAATAACAACTACATATGTTGACCCACACGAGCATGGTAAACAATCAATAAATGCAAAACCACCTTTCAGAAAAAAACAAAAAGAATTGCAAATATGGATTTTTACGAGATATCATTGTTACTTCCTTCTTAAGTTGATTGATCAGTGTTGGCAGTGAATTTTTGTTTTTATGACAATTTGTAGAGATGCCATGTAAGCCTTTATAGTATTACTGTATAGTTCATTCGATTTTGACTTGTGACTATCATCCCCATATCTTCATTTCTATGTCCTAATTCGTCACATTATCTTTTATTATCAGCGATCATAGTTGTATCACTAAAGCAATTAGTCACTGACAGTAGGTAAGTGTATTTTGCTAACTTAAACATTATCCCGAAAAATATTCAAATGCAAATATCGAATCTGTTGTTAATAAAATCAAAATCCTATAGTTTACCAGTTTGAGAATAAATTACTTCACAGATTATAAGAAGTAAACTCCGATAAAGAAAATGAAAGCTAAATGGAGAAATGTAACAATATTTTTCAAAATATTGACGGGCTTTTTGATCCATTGCCTTCATAGATCTGCATGAAAATATGTATAAAATGTTTGCGAAGAACACAGTTTTAAAATGAGTACATACTTATAAGCTCTGTCGGTCATTTACAGAGTTTTACTCAATTATATTTCATAACATGCAAGGTGACATGGACATATATATGTCCGCTTGGGACTCGGCCGGAGGAGGACATATATGTCCGCTTGGGACTCGGAGGGTTAAGACTGTTTTATGCAACCAAATGTTTAAGCTTCCAGACATTTTGGACTCATGTAGCTGAAACACACGCTTTGTGTATATATAAATATAATTCGTCTATATTACAATGGACGCACGGAAAACGAATATGTCAACTGCAAATTACGTCCTATCATTGCTGAATGTAAGAAACAATTCCAAATGGTTGTTTCCTAAAATTCTCTTTTCTGTAATTTTTTACCATGTTTTCTTGATCCAACAAATCAATGGTATAAAGTCTTAAGTTCCTTATTTTTAAATAGTAAAACATGATTGTTATAAAATTTGTTGTATGTTTTATGTTATTAGTATTTGGTTGCGAGCTGTCTTATTCGTGCTGATTATAATTTTGTTGTATGTTTTATGTTATTAGTATTTGGTTGCGAGCTGTCTTATTCGTTCTGATTATAATTATTATTATCCTAGTATTACCTATACTTCATAGATATAAGAAGATGTGGTATGAGTGCCAATGAGACAACATAACTAAATATAACTAAAACACAAATGTAAATTTGCCGACAGCCCGACGAACGGACCACACCTTTAATTAACAAATACGTATATAAATAGAAAATCAGAAAATCAAGTTTAATTGCAATTAGCAATTATAAAAAGGAGCTTACTATGTTGAACGACGGCTAGAAAGTGAAGCGCTTGAAAAACACCAAATATATAGTAATACAAAATTCGACTTCCTGATTGGTCAATTTTGTTATGCCTTATGAATATTTATGAAAACGTAACGACAATACGATATTTTCCCGCTTTACTATACGAACCGCGGGAAAATACTATCATTGTTATTATTTCATCAAGATACAACTAGATCTACATGGAAATGCACACATAGTTGTTATTGGCTTTATTCTAGCTTTCAGTAACTGCGGATACTCTTAGATTGGTTCTTAGTGTTTATGTTAGTTTTATTTATTCTTCGTGCCGATCTGGTGAGTCATGCCATTTCCAACGAGTTTTTAAAGTTAGCTATTCCGTTGTGCTGTTACATCGCTGTCCCAGTTTAGGGACGGATTAAGCACTCACAAACATGTGCACCATCCACCATGTGCACATTCTGTATGTCAAAAGTCAGAATAAAAATAAGAAGATGTGGTTTAATTGCCAATGAAACAACTTTCCACCAGAGACCAAATGACGTTGAATCAATTATATATCAGCATAGTACAGTCTTCAACATTAAACAAAATTCATGCAAGCTATAAAAGGCCCCTACATGATTCAAACGAGAAAACTAAAGGCTGAATTTATGTACAGAACAATACACGAAAAAAACCCAAATACGATATACTACATACAACAACCACTGAATTACAGGCTACTGACTTGGGACAGGTACATATAGAATGTTGCGGGAAAACTTGTGACATGTTTGCGGGTGCACAACCCTCTAGAACATGGGACAATGGTGTAACAGCACAAAATAATACAAAACTCATAAATCAGTTTGAAAAGGCTTGAGTCATTATTAGCACACAAAAAACAACTTATAAAAATATTTTAGACAAAAAGCACCGAGTACTCGTATTTTCTTAAAGCTAGTTCAAAGCCAATAACAACTAGATTAAAAAAACATGTCTCCAAGACTAAAATATCAATTAGTACACAGTCAATGGATTTAGTGTTTAAAAGACGTCAAATTTAAGTATCGACAGACTGTAGGACCGTTAATGATCATATAGATGTAGAGCAATACTATATAGTTATGCTTTAATTATATGTATTCAGTAGCCTGTAATTCTGTGGTTATCGTTGTCGTTGTATATTAATTTTTTTGTTTTGTTTTTGTTTACTGATTTGCACATAAATAGGGCAGGTGCGGATCCAGGATTTTGATATATATGTAGCTCCATACAAAAAGAGCGGGCCCAATGCAATATGTAAGAAGAAAAGTACATGGCAGCAATCCTTAAACAATGTTTACGTATTGATGAAAACATTTGAAAACTATGTATAAAGTTGAAAAAAATATTGAATACTTCTGAAAAGTCCGAAATTAAGCATTATTCATATTATATATAAAAATAACAGGGATGTAGTATAAATGCCAATGAAACAACTCTCTACGAAAAACCAAATGATGTAGAAAGTACTATAGGTCACCGTACGGCCTTCAACAATGAACAAAACTCATAACGCAAAGTAAGCTATAAATGGTCCCAAAATCACAAATGTATCTCTATCAATTCAAACGAAAAAACTAACGACTTGATTCATGTACAAAACAATGAACGAAAAACAAAAAATATATACAGACAGCAACAGACTTACGCTTAATAATAACTGGAATATCGTCTTTTTGATATACCCTCCGCGCAGTAATTAGTTCTTTGATATGGGCGTGATTCAAATGACACATGTACATTTTGTATTCAAATTTACAATTTAAAAAAACTATGCAACTATAAAATCATAAAAATATGGCACCAAAGCAAAGTGTTACTTGTCTGTTTAGGACCTTCTGCCTTCAATGGTCTCCAACGTTTTAAGTTTAACTTTCCAAATGTTGGTTTCGAGGGTATATAATGAAAGTGACCCAAATTTTGGTTTCAAATGTATGATCTAATGAAGGTGACCTAAATTTTGGTTTTGAGAGTACCTAATGAAGATGACCCAAATGTTTGTTTCGAGAGTACCTAATGAAGGTGACCCAATTTTTGTTTCGAGAGTACCTAATGAAGGTGGCCCAAATGTTGATTTCGAGAGTACTTAATGAAGTTGACCAAAATGTTGGTTTCGAGAGTAAATAATGAAGGCGACTCAAATCCCAAATTTAGGTTTCGAGAGTACCTTATGAAGGTGACCCAAATGTTGGTTTCGAGAGTACTTAATGACGGTGGTCCAAATGTTGGTTTCGAGAGTACCCAATGAAGGTGACCGAAATGTTGGTGTTAAAGGTACCTAGTGAAGGTGACCAAAATGTTGATATCAAGAGAACATAATGAAGGTGAACCAAATTTAGGTTTCGGGAGTACCTTATGAAGGTGACCAACATGTTTGTTTCGAGAGTGCCTAACAAACGTGACCCAAATTTTGGTTTCGAAAGTTCTTAAGGAAGTTGACCGAAATGTTGGTTACAAAGGTACCTAATTAAGGTGACACAAAAGTTGGTTTCGAGAGAATTTAATGAAGATGGCCCAAAAGTTTGTTTCGAGAGTACATAATGAAGGTGACCCAAATTTAGATTTCGAGAAAGATATAAAAATAGATATTAAAAAAACTTTTAAAAAAGACGATAAAAACTTCATAGAAGCACAATTGCCCTCGTAGATTTAAAGGAAATGACCATTGATCCTGATTGACACAAGCGGCCATAAAACTGATGCTGATGATTGAACAACAAACATATTTTTCACTAATAAAGAGACGCTATAATCCTTTATATTTTAAATTATTTGTATTTCAGAAATAAAAATCAGTATGCTGCAGTTACTCATTTTTGTTCTGTCTGTGTCGCTTGCAGTTTGTCAGAACACGATTACCGTAGATACCCCAATAGGAAAAATAACTGGCTTGCAACAGTTTAAGGTTATTGGTCCTCAAAACTACACTTACAATGAATTCAGGCGTATTCCATTTGCAAAACCACCGGTGGGAGATCTAAGATTTCAAAAACCTGTTGCGTTTGGTTCCTGGAATCAAACATTGAATGCTACATATTTTGGAAGTGCTTGTATTCAGGGACAACCTTCCAAAATAGTTAGTGAATTCATTCCTAACAATACCATATCAGAAGATTGTTTATTTCTTAACATCTACGTCCCAACCAGTAAATCCTCGTCCGCTGCCAAAAAGGCTGTAATGATTTGGATTCATGGAGGATCGTATATTTCTGGCACAGGAATGTTATATAATGGTGCATACATGGCATCAGTTGGTGACGTAATCATAGTCACCGTGAATTACCGTCTTGGTGTATTTGGATTTCTAAGTACCGGGAACGAAAATGCTGTCGGAAATTATGGACTTTGGGACCAGAAAATGGCTATTGAATGGGTTAAAGACAACATAGAAGCGTTTGGAGGAGATACCAGTAACATAACTATATTTGGAGAATCGGCCGGCGGTTTTAGTGTCTCTTTGCACAGCTTGATTCCACAGAATAAAGGTTTATTTAACCGCGTGATTGCACAAAGCGGAGTCTCCACTTCCTTTGTCGCAACCGAATATAATATAACATATTACACAACAAGGATTATAAACGTTTTAAAGTGTACGTCTGCCCAGCAGTCTCAAGAAATAAAATGTCTGAAAAATAAATCGGCCTTTGATATCCAAAATGCATATAATTACCTGTACAATTTACCAATTAAAGACCCTCACGATTTTCTCGTGTTTGCGCCAAGGGTAGATCGAGATTTGTTAATGGACCACCCAAAATTACTTCTGAAGAACCGGTCATCCGAAGCCTACAATTTTTTCCGTTCTCTAGACATGATTATTGGTAACGTTAATTCTGAAGGCTCCTTACTTCTGGGTAATCCGTTGACAAGATTACAGACAGCATATCGATTTAACATAGATCTCGGTATTCCTCGGTCTGTATTGTGTGACCACTTAGCAACAACAATGGCTTTGGACGACTACAACAACAACACTAAAATTGCACCTGCTGTTTGTCAAAAATATGGTTATTCCTTAGGACTTTACCACAGTATGAACAGCATTTATTATTATGGGGATATTTATTTCTACAGTAAAACGGTTGAAACGTTAAATTTTCATTCTGAAGGAACTCCATCATCAAAGACATTTCAATATTTAAGTGCCAAAAGAACTATCCTCAGCAAAAGAGTACCATTGTGGTTTGAAGGAGCAAGTCATGCATCAGAAATACCATTACTCTTTCCATTTTATAATTTCCTGTCAAACAAATCTGAAGATTTAACATTAAGCTTAATTGTGATGAAATACTGGACCAACTTTGCAAAATACGGGTAGGTATAAATCTTTAGAAAGAAGACAATTTGGTATCAGAATAAACCAAAATCTTTGTTTTGCAGATCAAGTTAAAATAAAATACATCCTTCTTGTATAAATTTTAGCGTATTTGAATATACAAAAAGAAAAGTACAAATTTTCCATTTAAGGACACATAATCTAATTTAGTGGGTTTTAATCTTTTAATTGAAACTCGAGATTTCAATATATGGGGGTGGGGGTCTTTTTGATGACGTCCCAACTACCCAATGATCGTCAAATACCTGGGTTTTTTTTATTCTGCATTACCACCTTTAAAAAAGATGTTAAATGGAAATCTTGAATTAAAAAATCAGATTTCAGTGAGAAATTAGTTCGAATATGGCAATCAAAGCACCTTGCCCTTTGAATAAACTGGTCCGCCATTCCATCTAAAGCTTCGCACCGAAGTGTAGCGATAAGTGAACACAACAGGGGTCCAGTTTAGCCCTTTGAGTTGGCACTGGAAAATGAGATTAAGTTAAATATGTCTACAACTGAAATTCTCCCTTTAACATGTGTGTAGAAGATATATGTTTTAATGTAAACAGGGTTTATTGTATACCACACTACACATTTTTTATTCATTTTCTTAACTGATCATGAAATCAGGCGTCTTTTTGTTGATTTACATTCAATAAGTTTAGATGCTGTTGAGTAACACTCCAGCACAAGATATATGAAGTCTTGTGATGTTAGAGATATGAAATATTTCACTTAATGAAAGAATGTTCTAGTACTCATCTCCACCCCGACCCTCTAAAGATAAAGTATTCATTTGAGAGGTTTTTACATATTTTTTTTTATTCTTATTTTTTTCCCATTACACTCTTACTTATGCATGTCAGTTATAAGTTGTTTTGTTTGCTGACAAAAATTTCATGCAGCAATGGAAATTCTAAACGAAAATACGCAATTATATTTTCGAGTGCAGTTCAAGAAATATAATAAAAAGTATTCATGCCAATAGCAATAAATTTTAACGCAACCTTAGAGTGTCAATAACCGTTTTATCTTCTTTTTTTCAGAGATCCGAATGACGAAAAACTTCCAAGCTGGTCGCAATATACACAAAGTAACAAAGCTTATCAGATTTTGGATGTTACCATATCATCTGACAAAGACATGTACAAAGACCGGGTTGATTTCTGGCTCATAGACATTCCTAAACTTATTAACTCAACAGCTGATGAGTCTTCTTTTACTACAAAAAGAAAAAGTGTAACTCAAATGCACCAAGCGTATCATAGCTTAACAGGTCAACTTCTCATTAAGAATAAATACCCGAAAACGGAAATGTCATTACAAGGAAACACTATAAAATGGTGAATTATTAAAACGTATTATATTTTAGACAGAAAAAAAAAATAAATATAGCACAAATGAACAGTATTTTTTTTAATTGAAAAAAAATTATCAAATTGACAAAGTTCTCCGTCTAATTGTCAGTTGTGGACTGGATTTGTTACGAACTTATTGCTTGGGTCCGTTTATCATAGATAAAATGACTTACATATAAAATTTTAAAACGTATATTGTAGCACAAAAAAAATGTATTAAATGTAAAGAAAAGAAAAATGTTTGGATTTATACCGTAAGTAAGTATCAAATATAAGAAAAAAAAACCCCAAAAGTTTGTTTAAGTATGACTTTATGGTTTATTGAAAACAACATATCTAGGCCTATATGTAATATCAATGAATATTCATTTGGTACTTTCTTATTCATTCTGGTATTTAACCTTTTTGGTAATTAGCTATACTTGTAAAACCGGATGTTGTTAGCTGTCTGCAGATGTACAATAAATGTGATACTTTCAATGGTGTTGTCAATTTGGTTAAGGATGTTCGCTACTCTGTTTAAAAATAACAAGCTTTTTATAAGACTGTTATAAAATGATAGTATATACATAAAGGAACTAAAAAAGCAGAAAAAAATGAAGGGTCCGTGTGCTTGTTTTCGAGATACAAGCCATTGAAAATTTGGCGGGAAATGTTTCTCTCTAGATTTTTCATGTATTTAACATTGACCGTTTTTTCTTTCAAATACTGAGAAAAAATAACAAGGATTGCATAAAATCTTCAAAAATGGCTTTTTAAACACTATATAATAAAATTAAAAACCAAGGTCTTTCCACAGCAATTTTTAAATTTATTGAAAAGAAGCTAGTTCGTGTTTACTCAAAGTTAGAATTGGCATCTTATCATCAGTTTCTTCATACTGATGCGATAAATAAGTGGTTTCTATATACTTCTGAGTGAAATAAGGGAGATAATTAGCTACTTCCGGTGAAGTAAATGTCACTTTCGGTCTCATATAATAGTTTCTTTCACACTGATTCCAAAAATATATAATTTCTATATACTTTTGCTTGTAAACCAGGAGATAATTGACCACTTCCGGTTTATCGAAAGTCATTTCTAGTCTTCAGTGATAAGTTAATGTATTAAAATTACAAAATATATGGATTCCGAGTACTTTTTCATGAAGAAAGTGCAAGAATGGCTACTTCCGGTTTTCTCAAGGTCACTTCCGGTTGTCATTTTTCAAGGTCATATGGCTTTATAATGAACCAAGTTGAAGTAATAATCAATTAACCTTGTAATTGGACATTTCAGGGGCACTTACTCCAATAAGATGCCATTAGATTGTTTCAGACCAAATGTAACATATCTTCATTACAATAAAGCAAACATTTTGCACTTGCTGTTTCATATATATCTTTAAAAGTGTTTGAGAAAATGCAAAAACAAGGAAAAATCAAAATTGAGAACTTGACCTTGACCTCATTTTCTAAGTTAGGACCTAGGGACCTCAAATAAAAAGATTCCAGGGTTATACGGTTAACGGTTTATGAGTTAAAAAAACATACCGACAAATTTATTTGGTAAAGGTAGATAACTCCTTTAAAATGTCATCAAATCGCTTCGATTTAAATTAGCCAAAAATTTCTGACGATGTAACGAACAATTTAGAAAAAGAATTTTGTCGATATCTTTTTTTGTTACAAAGGAGATGCACACACTTGATAAACAGTGAATAGGGAAATAACTCTTACAAAGAAAATTGTTCGGCTAAGAATGGGTGAAAATAAAAAAAAGCGCATAAACTGTATGATACTATATAAGAAATATCTTAGCGACATATTGCGAAACCTAAATTTTACGCGATAACAAAATTTGGTGGAAGAAAAAAATAATAATCAGAACAAATACAATAGGTCTTTCCACAGAAAAGTGGAAAGACCTAATTATCAAAAGAAAAGTGAAGGTTAGCGGGCAAAATTTTTATTGGCACTAACATGGATAAAACTAGAGGATTCCGAATATCGTCCAATTATTTTGTATCAATGGTTCTGATTGGATGACAATAAGCGTAAAATTCGCCATCTCCCTGTCTGTAACTAAGGAAGCCGACATTTTAAATTCCGAAATGTATTGACATGTAATTTCTCCAATAATAAGCAAAAAAACTCACATTTTGCACTTAGAAATCTTCTTTTTATCAAATTTTATTACATTTTGAAGCGGACAAGAATCCAGAAAACGCCCGGTGTTTACGTTTGATGCCGGAAGCATACTTATGACGTCACCTAGTTTAGGCGCCAAAGAAGATAACATTATTTCGCGGGATTTTCGTTTAATAAAAATTTACACTAAAATAATGACTAAAATTGAATGATTTGTTTATTTTGCATTAGAATAGAGATACGCGTCGCCAGGTAAACTAAATTTGCGACAGTAAAACTACCGATGGACGTCCGCAAAGCTTCAAAAACAATACAGTTATCTCTAAATTTACATGACCATCAACAATCAATACACTACAATTTGGCGACGAGGATAACAAGAGATGGCAGAAGCACGTCCAATATTGCCTGACATTTTTTGACGTTGGAAATGACATTAATTCGTTGGGACAAATATGGACACGCTGGCTACATTTTTTTAATTTGTACGCAACAGGTAAAGGAGTTGTCGAGGCACAACTGAAGAAATCATTATTGTTGCACAGTGCTGGAATGGAAGTACAAGATGTGTATTATACACTGGTAGAACGAGAACCAGGTGAAGAGGAAACGGTGTACGATGTAACTGTAGAAATTTTGAACAATCACTTTACAAAGGAACCAATTTCGGGCAATGGAACAAAAACCCCAAGAAAAGATTGAACAATTTATAACTAGGTTACGACAGAAAGCAGTTTACTGCAATTTTGCTAATGTAGACGAGAGTATTTGCGACCAAGTAATAGACAAATGTAGTTCAAAGAGGTTGAAAAGAAAATTATTAGAAAGACACAATGTTATCTTACAGCAATTGCGTGAAACTGCAGAGTGAATGGAAGCTGCAGAGAAACAGGCAACTCCAATAGAGCAACCCATAGAATCCGTCAACAAAGTTACAAGTAAGAAACATTAACAAAATGACACAGAGTTTAAACCTCTGGAATCAATATCATGCTATGCATGTGGATTTTCTGGACATTATAAACCAGATCCTAAATGCCAAGATAAAGAAAAGAAATGCAGAAAATGCAAACACGAAGGACATTTTGAAAAATGTTGCAAGACAAAATCTTCAAAGACTCATTATTCAAGAAAAACAAATGTGCGACATGTTGAGTCTGCAGATGATGCATGAAATGAACCAGAATTCGAAAACGAAGATTATACATTTACCATACATGGGAATCAAGGAAAGGTCAGCAAATTTACAGTTAATGTTGGAGGTATAGATGTTCCAGTAGTGATTGATTCAGGTGCAACTGTAAACATTAAAGATACGACACTTTGGACACAAGACGTCAATAGAACTTGGTGTGTTGAAAATTGAGACAAATGTTAGCACAGTGACTGATAGTGTAGTGAAAACTACCTATGTCAGTAAATTTCCAAAGGTATTTACAGGTGTGGGAAAATTAGGAGACTTTCAATTGAAAATCCCTGTAGAAGAAAGCATTCAACCTGTTATTCAGCCATTACGCCGTATACCGTATCATTTACGAGGAAAGTTAGAAAAAAAAACTGAATGATCTTTTGGATTAGGACATTATAGAGGAAGTAAATGGACCAAGTCAGTGGACATCGCCAATTGTGGTTGTACCAAAGAAGAATGGCGATATGCGAATATACGTTGACATGTGGCGCGCAAATCAAGCAGTCATGCGAGAAAGGTACCCGATAACAACTGTGGATGAGGTAATTCAAGATTTGAATCAAAGTAAAGTCTTCACAAAGTTAGATATTAAATTTGCGTACCATCAAATTGGACTGACAATAGATTCAAGAAAGATAACTGCCTTCATGACACATAAAGGAATATACCGATATAAAAGACTTATGTTTGGAATAAACTGCACCCCGGGGATGTATAACAAAGTGATGAGTCAAGTATTTCAAGGACTTGAAGGATACGAAACATTTTTGATGATGTTGTTGTTTATGGCTTTACTTCTAATGAGCATAATGAGAGAAGCAATGATGTTCTTCAACGACTAGAAGAAAAGGACTGACACTTAATATTGACATGTGCAAATTCAATATGACAAACATTGAATTTATGGGTCATATGTTATAAGAACATGGAAATTCTCAGTCTAAAGTTGAAGCAATAGTAAATGCTAGAAGACCAGAATCAGTTTCTGAGATAAGGAGTTTTCTTAGTTTGTTAATTTCGTTGGTCGTTTCATACCAAATGTAGCAACTGTAGCAGAACCACTACACCGCTTACTTCACAAAGACACAAAATTTCACTGGGGACCAGAACAAGAAGATTCGTTTAAAAAGTTAATGAAGAGTCTAGTGGATGCGTCTAATTTAAGCTATTTCAACTTGAATGCAAAAACTCAAGTTATTGCATATGCCAGCCCTGTAGGCTTAGATATCGTTCTAGTACAGAAACAAAATGATGAATACAAAGTTATATGCTATGCAAGCCGAAGTCTCACAACCACAGAAAGGAAGTATTCACAAACCGAAAAGGAGGCGTTAGGATTGGTATGGGCCTGTGAAAGGTTCCATATGTATTTACTCGGGCATGATTTCGAGTTGCTAACTGATCATCGTCCGTTGGAATTCACATTCTCTCCTAAGTCTAAACCGTGTGCTCGAGTTTAAAGGTGGGTGTTTAGAATGCAACCTTTCAAATATATTGTAAAATATATTCCAGGATCACAGAATATTGCAGATTCTTTATCACGGTTGTTAGTGGTACCGAAAAATGGATCAAATGAAGGAGAAATAAATCAAACCGAGGAGTATTTACTTTTTGTTGCAAATGAATGTACGCCAAACGCTGTAAAGATTGAAGATGTGGATACATTGTCGCTTAATGACAAAGAATTAGAAAACATTACTATTGTTTGTTAAATGGAAGGTGGCATGAATTGCTAAACAAACAATATTTGACAGTGAAACAGGAACTTAGTGCTATAGGTCATAGTGTTCTTCGTGGAACAAGACTTGTTATACCGACTGAATTGAGGAATAAAATTCTGAAGCTAGGACACGAGGGACATCCAGGAATTGTTTTGATGAAACAAAGACTAAGATCAAAAGGTTGGTGGCCAATCATGGACAAGCTTATTGAAGAATATTGTAAGTTTTGTTATGGGCGCCAGCTTGTTGAAAACCCAGAGAAACCAGTACCGATGATTCGAACTTCTCTTCCGTCTAAACCGTGGGAACAGATATCAACAGATTTTCTAGGACCGTTACCGTCTGGAGAATATATATTTACCGTTCTCGATTACTATTCAAGATGGTTGGAAGTGACAATTATGAGTAAAAGTACAAGTGCAGACCGAGTAGTGGATGCTC